GATCTTAATAATCTAACTTCAGAAAAAAGTCATCTAAATGATATCTTTTGACTGAGCTCTAAAAGATCTTTCTGATTTTTATGCTGAGCGGGCTATGCTTTTTTTAACATTTTTATTATATAGACTTTATTAATTAATATTTTTAAATTTATTTTTTATGTAGATTTTGACACCTTCCAAATTATACTTGGAATATGCTTATTTACAACATAAACCATTCTACAGGCAAACCTGGTTTATGGTAACATTAGCTGCAACATCAATCATTATAATAATTATGGTTATAGCAGTTTTATGCGTGAAGAGTAAAAGTTACAAATATAAACGTAAGTTAATAGTAAATATTATTATAAATATTATATTAATTTTACCAAGACGATATATATATATATATATATTGTTACGACCCTGTTCTGAGCCGTCCCTGGAAAAAGGACGTGAAGGCCGTTTCCAGGCTACGAGTTGTTGATCGGGGAGATCTGGACAGGAGCTCGAAAAGAACGGACGTGATATATTACGGAAAATTGTAGAAAAACCCTGAACGGTTATTAGAGTTCCATAAATAAAGTTCTTTGTTAATCTTTTGTAATCTGAAAAAATGTAATGCTTCCCGGAGAAGTAACACTCCCGCCCAAACTCAGATTACAAAAGATTAACAAAGAACTTTATTTATGGAACTCTAATAACCGTTCAGGGTTTTTCTACAATTTTCCGTAATATATCACGTCCGTTCTTTTCGAGCTCCTGTCCAGATCTCCCCGATCAACAACTCGTAGCCTGGAAACGGCCTTCACGTCCTTTTTCCAGGGACGGCTCAAAACAGGGTCGTAACAATATATATATATAGCAATATAATCTTATATAATCTTCAGAAGAAGCTCAAAAAACTCTTGAAGAGTCCATGGCTATGGATACTGATGATAGACAAGAATCAGATTTAGAGTTATATCGATCTCGGCAGGGAGGTGTTAGTGGCTTAAGTGGAGGAAACACTTGTGGGACTTTAAGTAAAAGAAATACATTGGCACGAAAATCTGCTCATCCACCTCCTCCTACAATGTTAGGTAAATCTCCACCTAGACCTTCACCTGCTTCAGTCACTTATCATAGTGACGAAGAAAGTCTTAAAGGCTATGATGAGAATCCTGATGATAGTAGTGTCACGGAAAAACCTTCAGAAATCAGCTCTACAGATTCTCAGGTATTATTTGTCATTTAATAATAATTTATTCATCATTTTTAATTACTTTTTATATTTATATATCCATTCATAATTATATCATATACGTATTTCAGGGTTCTGAGAGTGAGAACGAAAGTGTACAGTCAGATCCACATTCCTTTGTGAATCATTATGCAAATGTAAATGATTCTTTAAGACAATCTTGGAAACGTCAAAAGCCAGTAAGGAATTATTCTTCATATACTGATTCTGAACCTGAAGGTAGTGCAGTTGTTAGTTTAAATGGTGGACAAATCATTATGAATAATATGGCTCGATCAAGAGCTCCACTGCCTGGTTTTTCATCATTCGTATGATCTGATCAAAATACAATAGTTAAAATTAAACAAGTATTAAATACATTTAAGGTGTCTCCTCCTTAACATGACAATATCTAAAGCATGATTTTTTAAATGGCATTATCTAAAACATGACTTTAGAATAATGTCTTCTTTCTATATAGAGTTAAAGACTTATATGAAAACACGGATTTACAAGTGTTTCTACGCATGCAAAAGTTGTAGAGTTTAAAACTTCAACTTTAAAGCTTTTGACATCCTCGTATTGTGATATATTGATACACGCGCGCGCTCATATATATACACATTATTTATCATTTAAAGCAATATTGTTTCTCATATACAAATATATTATAATTTTCATTCGATAATACTATGTAGTATATCATACAGATTTGTAAGTATACATAATGAATATGTATCTTTTATTTTATACTATCATTCCTAACTTATTTCAAGGACAATGAAAACATATGTAAAATAATTTTTAGTAATATTCTGAGATCTATGTTTATAAGGGTATATGAGATGCAAGATAAAGAATAATTGTTATGCTTTGGCATTGGTTGTGAATGACAATATAGTATGAATTTTGTATTAATGTCTGAAATGTTTAGTCTATTACATATTTACAACATTTTTCCACTTCTTAATGAATTTTTTCGTAGATATAAATAAGCAAAGTATTCACTCGAAAATACATGCAATTTTATAATATCGTCCATCATATCATTTCTTACTATTTATATTAAATATCATTATTATCGTTATATTTCAAAATACGACTTTCTAACTACAAATATAATGTAGAAAGAATATATCAATGACAGGGTAGAACTATTTGATAAAAATTCCATGTTTTATAACATTTTTTAGGCAAATATACGTTCACGATGCTGACAAAAATAAATAAGATTAAAATTCCAGGTGATAATTAAAATATATATAACATACTCATGTTTTTAAATCAGTATTATTAGTAAAAGAAACATCATTAAAATTAATATGATAATTCTCAAAACTTTTATAATACAATCATTTATATGGCGTTTTTATTTTAAAAATTTCATTGCTATGCTATTAACAAATATATATATATATAAATACACAAACAAAATATGTATACTGCTTTACATAAGTAATATAATGATAAAAATACTTTTTAATTCCTTATTAATATTTTTTATCCGGTTAAAATATATATTATTGTTTTTTCGGTGACTCATCTGGGATTTTAACTTGTAATTAAAAATTTAATTATTATAAATAATGTTGTTAGCAATCCACTGTTATACATTATTGATAAAATTATAAATTATTACAAAGAATCTAAAATGTAGAAATGGAGCATATAAAATCAGAAATCAACATGTGATACATACTACTGCCTCATATTATCATACCGTGTTTTCCAAATATCAGATGCCATTTATAATGAACACTAATGTACGATTATTTGTATCCATTAAAATATCTCTGATAAATGATTCAGATTTATAAATTTAAAAACATAAATCTATATATATATATATATATGTGAGGTAGTGATTTGTACATATATAACTTACTTGAAAGGGAAATTAAAATGTATTACATGTAAGAATTAAGTTTTATGCTTTATGTTGATCTAAAGAATCCGAATATTTTTATGATTAAAGTAGTCCAAATTAACATTTTTAAAGTGTTATATAAATAATTATTTATTTCAATTCTTCGTTTTATGAATATTAAAGTATAATTCGTATTTATGTTCGTAGAACATAAGAAATGATTTTTTTCATTAAGAAGAGCACAGTTTTATTTCGCAAATTTTCTCATAATTATCATGTTAATGATGTCCAAATGAATTATAAAAATTTTTACGACGATGTTACCGGTATTGTGGCCTTCATGATGTGTAGTATTGGATTTACTTGGAAACTGCTCCAACTTTACTTTTCATAGTACCCCGAACTTTCTTCAATTTTTTTATATGTTCATTACGTAGTTTTCGGGTCAGCTTTTGTGTCTCGTAAAGACTGTGTCTTGTTAACTTATGTTTTGATTTGAACTTTTTTGCGAAGTCTAAAGTATCATAAATTGAAGCAAATACGGTAGATTTATCTCCACCAAAGTGTATTAAAAATCCAAAAACTAATACAACATCTGATATCACTTTATAAATTTTTGCTAGTTTTTCTTATATTTCCGTCGTAATTTCTGTCATTAATTTCTGTCAAAATCGTAAGAATAATTCGTACTTATATTCATACCAAATTAAATTTCTTCTTCTGTACGTTTTATCAATTCAGACTAGAAAATATGTAATTTTGGTTTTATTAATAAAGCTAAAAATTTAATAAAAAATTTTTAGTATAAACATATGAAAAGTTAGCAATTCAATTATATAAAACGATGAGTTGAAATGCTAGGATGCGCATGTAAGAAAGAGCATTTATTTTAATTAAGTTGCAAATAAAACTTCTTTTTTATTATAGTTTATCCATGCTAAGATCAACAGCCATTATGTAATTATGCCATTATGTGTCTCTTATGTTATATTACAAAAATAAGAATGGAAATAAGAAAGATAAACATATAAATTTGAGAATAAAATACACTATGGCAATATAAAATTGTTGCATTTACTAATGCACTTGATAAAATCATTAGTTTAAAATTAAGAAAAAATTAAAAGATAACAAAAGTTTGAATAGTATATAGAAGTCTGCTGGTCAGTAGGTTGATTAATTAAATGTTTTTAAAATAAGATTAATATTTTAATGTCTTGCAAATTTATCTGTTCACATTTACTCTCTTTTTATTGGAGTATTCAAAACAAAAAGTTTATTTATAATAAAAAGAAGCAAATTTTTATGTTTATTTCATATGATTATTGTGCCTATTAAATATAGTGATTCATGTATAAAATGCGCAAATAAGATTTTGGAAGGACTAGATAAAGCAGTATTATCTATAATAATAATATTAATAACTTAATCATAAATATTTTTAAGTACCTTTTTCATCTTTTTGTACAATGCATTATATTCCATCTATTAATATGTACTTTATTTATAAACTCTTGGAAGCAAAGAATTTTTTTCTTTCTTATTTCCAAATTCCTAATAACACAATTTTTATACTTTTATAATATTAAAACCATTATACTATATTAAAATAAGATTAAAATATTAAAAAGTATTAAAATAGAAAAAAACTTTAAGTACTGCCAATAAACTATGTAGTTTTTTTATAATTTTGTCTCGACTTTATAATTAATGTATTTAGAAGGTCTTTTATATTTTATTAAAAGCTTACACAAATTTAAGAAAATTTCTGATATAAATATTTACTTCTATTTTTATTTCATAATTTAAATATATATATATATATAAGATATACAAATTATATATCTACAATAGCAATGTCATATACAAAAGAGTATTGATAAACACGAATGAAATGCTAGATGTTATTTAAAAAATTCGTATCATATATCGTACAAATGATGTATTTATTTAAATATTTTTTCACAAGCATTAATCCACTTTTTAAGACTCGATGGTAAATTTTGTACAGAAATTTGTTTAATTACAGACCATACAGCAATATCAATAATATTTGGTTTGTTTATGCCAAACCATTCATTTGTTCCTAACGTTTTGGTAATATATTGAAGTATTATTTGCTGTTTCTTTGATGATTTTTCTATTTGTAGACAATAACAATAATCAAGTATAGTGTCAAATACGTTTGCTTGTACAGGATCTAGACAATTTTCAAAATTATGTGTATGGAATAACCTGCTTAAGTATCTTAACAAATTAACTTCGCCGAATAAAGAATAATTGTATAATCCTGAGACAAATTCAAACTCCTCAACTGTAAAATAAATATAATAAGAATATGCATGTTAGTGGAATCCACAAAATTATGCATTTTTTTAACATTATTAATATTTAATTTACCTTCTTTCCATATGAGAGACAAATTAATTACATTTGGCTTAGTTGGATTTATATCACAGACATATAACTCAGGTACATCTCCAATAACACTTGAATGAATATATGTTTGCAATTTGATATTTGTATCATTCCAAACTTTTGGAAGTGCTAATATGGAGTATGGTGGCTTCTTTGGATTTGCATTTATAATTAAATTAACGGTGATTGATTCAGATTTATGGCATACATTCGAAAGCAAATTACTTTTCTGTTAATATTTTTATAAAATATTAAATAATCTGTCTTAAGTCATTGTTATTTACAAAAAACATAAACTTATAAGAATCAATAATTATTCACCTTCTCACTATTTTCTGCTGGCATCTTAACATGATCTGTATGTTTTAAAAAATTGCAAAGGGAAGATACCTGTTTCTTAAGCTCTGCTAATTGAGCTAAAATTTTTTCTTGCGTAGCTTCTAATAAAGCATATTCTGATAATGGATTCTGCAAATAAATATGATATTTAAAACATGTGCATATTTAATTCTATTATTTAAGTATAACTATGATGTTCTGTAATCAAGAATTTTGATGTATATTGAGAATCATAAAATAATATTAACCTAGATTTTTAAACAATGTATAGTGCTGATTTAGATTTCAATAAAAATACTTAAAAAGTAAACACACACATACTATTATACCAATTATATTTTTCTGTATATTATTTTTGCTACAAGATATATTTTATATTCAACTATACTTTAAAAAGATTTTAAAGCTTCGTACTACAATAATTTTATCTAAACGATTATAATGATTGTTTTTAATGAAATAGCCTTTTAATTTTTTGAATCTATCACTTCAGTGTCATTCTATATTAATATTTTTCTATGTTGATATTTATATAGTTTCATTTCTTAGTTCTTATGTATCTTTGGTTATACAACTGTACTTTTGTAGCTTTTAGTACAGTTCTAATTTAGTAAGCTTGCTATTCTTCTATTACAATTGTCACTTTATTTCACTATTATCAGAAGCAGAGTTATTTTTCACGGCAGACACTCGTATTAGACTCCTGTTTTACGAAAAATTGGAGGGGCAAACATCGATCAAGCTTCGAGAACCATATTCTCGGTCGATCGTGATCAGTACTTGTGGAAATTTTGGGAGGAGTCATGCACGATAGGTTGAAGAAAGAAGAAACATTAATTTGTGCCATGGACGGTCGCCGTGTGAGTAAAATGGTAAATTCAGATTGTTATTTAATGTCACTTTATGTCGATAATGGATACTAGAAAAAGATGGAAACCTTCAAAAGCTTGATAACCTGCTCTGTAACATCAGCAACGATCTTGATCCCTGTTTCCGTATGGTTGCCTTTTCCGCATTCTCCGTGAATATTTTTCATCTCGTATATTCTGTTCGTAGAACGTGTCATTATGGGCAAGGAAATGATCGGTTTCATTGAATACATCTTTGTTTCGCCGCTTCTTTCAATCAGTCTCATATTGAATATAAAAAAATCACGTTACACGTGTTCGTCGTATTGTTCGCACTTTGTTCTCGCTTCGTATTTATCGAACTTGTTAGGCAGCCATTTTTATTGACTGTTTCTGTCTGCTCCTATTTCTCTTTCCATCTTTCTACCCCTCTCCTCTCCTTAAACTCCTTATGTCAAATTTTACTACATCCGTTATACAGACATTTTCAAGCATAGATGTCGTTGCTGTAGCTTCATTAAAAATATTTTACCTTTTTTTATTTATACCTCTTTAAAAAGAAAACAGAAAGGGAAGTGAAAGAGAGAGAAAAAAATTCTTAACATTTAAATGAGGTATAAAATTTTATACTAATAATTTATTACAGAAACTAATTCTTGGATTAAAAGTCCATAAAAGTTGAAGATTTTATTTTTACATATTTATTCAAAGTTCTTTAATATCGAAGTTTATTAATTCGTTGACCAAACTTCACTATAAATTGATTGTCGCAAATTTTATTAATATTTTCGTATTAAAATCGTATCTTCTCTGAGTGTAGAGTAAGAAATATGTGCTATCATATATTCAATGTTTTACTTCGTATTTTCCGTCGTACTATGCTTGACTACTAGAATCAAATGTGTAGATATTATAGTAATTTATTTTATTAGTGTTATAAATACGGCAGATAATGTTTGTTTAATAGTTGATTTATTTAAAAAATTAAAGTTATATTAGAATAAAATATATTCAAACTTCGTGATTTCTTGTCATTGAATTTTCTTTTATACAGATGGCGTGATTGTGATACTTGTTTTAATATGTGCAAAAGAATAATGTTTGAATTGATCTATTGAATAAATGTATCATCATGAATATTATGCATTAGAAAAATAATAATTTTCATTGTTTAATTAGACATTATATTTAAATATATATTTTTTAAAGCGGTCATTGATTTGGTCAAAGTGGTGTCCTCTGTCGAAGCTTTTATCAAACTAAGGTTAGATTTGCAGATCTTTCACGGGTCCGATTGTTTCTTGTGTATGAATCGGTCATTCTTTTATCAAAAGTGTTAAAAGAAAATTAATTAATAGTGATTGACATATAATTTTGACGAATGTATAATCATGATTTCATATTGAATAAAGGTGAGGACAACGGTTCGTCGGAAGTGCGGTTAGAAACGCGTTTTTTTTTTTAAACGCCCATGACGCCACCTATGGTTGATTCAATACAATCCTTTGTAGTTACAGAGCAAGAGATTGGATCTTGCGTACGTTTTGCGTTAATACGGAAAAAGGAGAAAATCTTATGTTTAATTGAGTTTTAATTGATCGGTTTTTCTTAGAATTTCGTGTACTATATTAGGATCTTTCGTAAAGAGAAAAACGGCGAGTTTTTGTTTAGATTTTGGCTGTATTAGCAGCAAATGCGTTTCGGGAACTAACATGGCGGCGATTTGACGAACCAATTGGAGAAGCGCTCTCTTAGAAAAGGCGGTGTTGTAAATTCCCCTTACATTCCGCGTCAGCGAGTTATTCCGTACTTCGTTTTGTCGTTATTGCTGGTAAATCTTTTTTATTAAAAGGAAGAAGCGGTAGTTGTCGACCAGTGGTATCGAGGGGTAGATTTACGAGATTCCAACGGGACGTTAATAATGAAAAAATTGTGTTTGATCACGTGACCGTAGCCGAAAAATGGCGCAAAGATCAGAGTACAAACATGGGCTCCATTTCGTTGCTGCGGTGTTATTTGTATTTGTTTACAAGCGCGCCTTTTCTCAAAACACGTGTTAAGTAAGTGCCATTTTTTTGGCAGTGGGTGACAGACAATGACGGGGAGAGGTTCCAAGAGACGGGGCCGGCCACCAAAGTCGGTGGTCATGGAAAGGCCCAAAAAGTTTCAGTATCACCTTATGAAGAAGCCAAAGTATTTGCAAAACAAGGATTTAGAAACGCAAAATTCACAACCGACTACACCAACAGTATCAAGACCTTCTTCACCAATTGAATGTGAAGAAAACAGACGTAGCACACGAAATCGAAAAACTCGTGTCACAAAGGATAGACACTCACGTAAAGGTGGTCATTCTAGTTCAGGTGCATATCAACGCCGAGGTTACAATCCAAATGTGGATTACAATGACTCTGAATATCACTATGGATCTGATTTTGGTGATGAATCCAGTGAGAAGAGTGACGTCGAAGACGATCCTCTTCAAAGCGACATAGAATCTTCTGAGAGTATAGAAGAACCTGATCCATCAAGCGATAGTGATTTTTCTCTCTCTAGTTATAGTACAACAAGTGGTACACCACGCAAAACTGTTTCGGGTCAACAACGACCACCGAGTCCAGAGCCATTATGGTTACAGAACAGAGAACTTCCTCCTCTTACTCCACCAAAATCTTCAGATGACCTATTGGTTCCTAAGGGGCTTGTAATGCCATCTCTTTCCATTTATGAGGTTTTAAGACATTTTCGTTCATTAGTGCGTCTTTCTTCGTTCAGATTTGAAGACTTTTGTGCAGCCCTAATGTGTCAAGATCAAACTAATTTATTAGCTGAGATTCATATTATGCTAATCAAAGCACTACTTCGAGAAGAAGATTCACAACAAACTCATTTTGGTCCATTAGATCAAAAAGATTCTGTCAATGTGAGCTTATATTTTGTCGACTCAATGACTTGGCCAGAAGCTTTACGATCTTATGTTGAAAGCGATAAAAGCTTTGATCAAAATGTCCTGCAAATTCTAACTGCTTCTGAATATCCTTTTACATCTATTGAAAACAGAATCAAAGTCTTGCAATTCTTAATAGATCAATTCATAATAACGAATCCAGTTAGAGAAGATTTATTGAATGAAGGTATGATAAGCAATATGTTAAATATTATAGTAATGTTACATTTTATGTTATATAATACGAATTGAATTTAGCAAGATATTATATTACTTATAATAATATACAATTATATATTGTTTTATTCAGCAGGATAGCACTTATTGTGACCATGCTGATACTTCAAAATAATTTTTAATTAATATTTTATGATTATTGTTTTTTTTTTACTTCTAGTAATGAAAATTAAAAATGTATAAATTGGTAAATAATTTTCAATGTTTATATCTCAGTTTGATATAACAATAAGTTGAAAGAATTTGAATTTTGTATAAATAGTTGATATTTTCATATTCCATTCTTAAGATATCTAAATTTTTTGTGTAATCTATATACAACAACAATTTTGTATAATAGACGTAGAAAAAGTATAACTTAATTTCTTCTAGGAAATATGCATTATGATGACCATTGTAGAGTATGTCACCGTCTTGGAGACTTATTATGCTGTGAAACTTGTCCAGCTGTTTTTCATTTAGAATGTGTTGAGCCTCCGTTAGTTGACGTTCCTACAGATGATTGGCAATGCAGTACCTGTAAAGCTCACAAAGTTACAGGAGTTGTTGATTGTATTCCTGATGTTGAAAAAAATGGGTCCTTATGTAGACAAGAACATTTAGGTTTTGATAGACATGGGAGAAAATATTGGTTTCTTACAAGAAGAGTTTTTGTGTAAGAAATTGTTCTTTTTCATATGATTGTAACTATATTATTATTTTATATTATTATTTACATTATATATGACTGTATTTCAATTTTATAGAGAAAGTGAAAGTGGAGAAGTTTGGTATTATAGTACACCATTACAATTAGAAGAATTAATGCATTGTTTAGATCGTAATGAAATGGAAGTTGCACTGTACCGTGAATTATCAGATTATAAGGATGAAATTGTACGTCAAATGGAACTTACAGAATCAATTACTAATCAATTCAAGGGTACCAAAAAATCATACTTGGAAATAGAAAATAGTGAGTATTATATATTGAGCTCTTTATGTGAACCTATAATCATTTGTATAATATTAATAATGAAATTCACATGTATAACATATTTTGAGAAACATAAAAAGAATATATTCATTATAATAACAATATAGGCCTTATACTAAAACTGCAAAAAGAGCGCCAAGAGAAGCAGGAAAAGGAAGAAGAAGAAAAGAAAGAAAAGCAAAGGCAAGAAGCTGAAGATATGGTACGCAGGATACATGAAGGGTCTGATTCTTTAGAAGAACGTTTAACAGCAACAACAGAACAAGATAAAGAGAAAATAGAAGAGCGGGTGACTACACAAGTACCAGAAGTGATAGCTGAAAACGTTGAAGTCGATGGAGCTACTAGTAATGTACCTACTACCTTAAATACCAATGTGGCAAACAACACTGGGAAACCTAATACTGTATCATCATCTGAAGAAATGGAAGAAGAAACAGCAGAAGGAGAAGAAAATGTTCCCAAAATAGGCAAAGATGGTATGTTATCTAACAAATTAACTTTTCTTTTCTTTTACTTTTTTTTTATAACAAAAAATTTATGCAAACTATATAGTTATGTATATAATGGAATTTATTTTCTCTAGGTAAAAAACATACTATAGTTACAAGATCAAAAACAGGTTCTTTACAACCTCGTACTTTTAATATGGATGATTTAAAGCGACGAAGTACAGTTTCAATGTCTAAAGAAGAGCTTGAAAAGTTAGATAAGAGTTTGAAGGAAGAAGGAGATAATACTAGATTGACTAGACAAAAAGCACATCAGATTGCTTCCGGTACACATCTCTTTAAATTGGGAATGGACAATAATTTTAAATCATATGTTAATCAGTATAGCACTAATCCTGTTGCTCTGAATAAACTTCAACGAAATGAAGAACGCGATAAAAAACGTCACTTGTCACATAAATTTTCTCTTACTCAAGCTTCAGAATTTAAATGGGTTGGAAGCTTGACAGGAACTCGTGCTCTTCTAGTTAATACCCTTCGACAAACTATTCTTCAACTTGAAAGCAGTATACAAGCTCCGTTTATGCATACCAACTGGCCACTTTTACGTAAACCATGGACTTCTGCAATAGGTTCTTGCGTATTTCCTAGAGATTTTGCACGAGCACTTATTGTATTACAAGCATGTATAAAAGCAGTTGTATTTGCTAATGTTTGGCATGATCAACTTGGACATGTAAAATTGCAAAGGGTAACTGCACTTGAACGAGAAGAAAAAAAACGTCTAGATAAAAAGGAAAAGAAAGAGAGAGAAGACGAAGAAGAGCGAAATAGATCATTTAATTTTGTTAAATATACATTAGGCTTAAAACATCAAGTATGGAAACAAAAGGGGGAGGAATATAGAGTTCATGGACAAGGAGGTTGGTTGTGGGTGTCAGCAAGTAGACGATATAGATTTAGCGACATGAGAAAGTTAGGTTTAAGAACAGGACCACAAAAAATTATGGTGCAAATTAGAGATCAAGAAGGATTAAAAATATTAGCCTTGGATCCTCCAACTTATGAATTTTTAATTAAAGAATATTGTTCAAATCTGGATGAAAAAATTAATATAGATAAAATAAGTATCAAGAAAGAAACAAATAATGATGAATTATCTACTGATACTGGTACAAAAAAGGTTAAGCAAGAATTTAAGGTAGAAAGTATTAAAACTGAAGAAAAGGTAGAAATTAAACAAGAAGTGGATAAAAATGGACCAGTAGCAGTTTCTAAAACAGAACAACCAGCAATTAAAAAAGAAACTAAAATGAATATATCCTGTAAGTATATTATATAAATATCGAATAATGTATTATTCGTTATACATATATATTTTATTTCTTGTTATATATATTACATATGTATGTATATATATGTATTTTGTTTCTAGTTTTAGCTGGTATGAAAATTGAGAAAGTTTTTACACCAATTAAAGAATTTGAAGAAATTGACATAACAAAGGCATTAACTACACCTGGGAAACTTCATTATCCAAAAATTGGGAAGAAAACTAGAATTGATGACTTTCTTGCACGTAGAACACATTTAAAATTACTAGAAGAGAGAAGATTATTACAATCTGTTAGTATATCTTTTACGTTGTTTATTTTTTTCTAACGCAACACTTGTTAACATCGTATATATGATGCAATTAAAATAAATATATTTCTTTTTTACAGGAAAAAATAAAGGAACCTATAGTTCAAACAGGAAGTCATAAAATAGCAGATGGTGATACTGATATCGATATTGAAAATAATGATGAAAGTGATACCGATGGTGGAGATGGTTCTTTACAGTACATACTGTCTGGTAAACAATCCAATAAAGCAATGTCATCAGCTGCAAAAGAAATGTTTAGTGCAATAGGAAAACGTATTCAACAAGTTAAAGGACAATATGCAAACATTATGAAACTTGAGAAGAATGGAAGTTGTTATTCACGATATTGCAATGTGGCAATTACACCAGGAAAAATGGCAATTACAGCACAAAATTTAATGTCTACTTGTTATTCTCCGATTTGCCTTCAGAAAGCAAGATTAAAACGCGAACTTGTAGTATTATTACGAAAGGCAAGTGTCTTAAACAATAGTCAAATACCATCTCAATTTTCACAAAACAAGCTTGATGGAAATGACGAGGCTAAGGATGCAATTAGAAGAGATTTGGAATCTGCTGTTGCTTCGGCAACTCACTGTACTGAAGAATTTCAAACAACAAATGTAAACATAAATAAATTATCAAACTTCAAAGACGGATCAGCACCTAGTGCTAAAAGAATAAAATTAGAACATAAAGTATGTATTATTATTTGATTTATATAAAATACTTTATTAAGGAATTAACTTCTTTTAAAGAGATTTATTATAAAATAATTTGTATTATTTAACAAGACAAGAGAATCATTTTAATAGTATGAAATATAATAAAAATAATTATTTATAGGGATTAGATAATGATTCTAATTTAAATAAAAAGGAAACTTCAATTACAACCAAAAGTAATGTGACAACAGCTACGGTAACTACTACTCAACAAACTATTAAAACGGTTGATAGTATTGTACAAAATATGCAGGAAAACATTTCTTCTCATAATACAACTACATTGTCATCGGAAACTAAAACTAGGTATTATAGAAAGTCTTTTTTTTATATATCTTACGTGTATCATGAAATTATAAATCTTAAATAATAATCATGTGATTATTTCAGTAATGTAAATAATGTAGTGTCTAAAACAACAATTATTAACAAAAGAGGAAGAACAGTACAACGAAGTACAGTAGCTAAAGAACTAAATGCTGATGGAACTGAAAGAATATATACTGCCAGTTCAGCAGAAGGAAAAGTTTATTTAAAAAAAGTTGCAATTTCTTTGGCTGATAGAAGAAAAAAACGAACACCAGTAAAATATCCTTTATGTTCGACATTTTGTACGAAAAATAAACGTCGAAGTATTTTACTTCTTCCACAACATGAATTACGAAAATTAGCCAGAGTTGGTGGACGAACATCAGTTCAGGGTTTTCATCACATGGCTAAGGTGAGTGGGTGCATGTGTGTTTGATGATTTCTATATATTATCTATAGTATTAAAAATTACATTATTATTTTATGTTATTATTTATAATATATCCAATATGTTATTTATTTTAAATTTTAGGCAAACCTAGCAGTTTGGCCATATCCTTGCCCTAGACCATTATTTAAGACATGTTGGTTATATCGAACAGTTGGTTTAAAATCTTTAGCTGCAGCTGCACTTCAACTAAGAATCTTATGGGCATGTTTACGTTGGGATGATATGGCGGCAAAACCATTATCTATAGATGGAAAACATCAAATTACAACAGATACTGAAATTATGTCATTAGAGATTTTAAAGCATCGTCATGTTGGACAATTTTTAGACAGAGCACAATATTTGCGTCGAAAAGTTGTTATACCTTTAGAAATTCCAAAACAAATTAGAGGTATTTATAAATAAGTTTTATATTACTTGCCTTATTTTATTTTAATTTATTTTATTTTATTTCATTTCATTTTATTTTATTTTATTTTATTTTTTTTTTTTATTTAAAAGAGGTAACATCTATAAGAAGTGGACTAAGAAAGAGAAAACGACCAGAATCACCGCAAAACACTGAACCACAAGTAACAGAAGAATGGGTTGATGAAGATAAATTGGAACTATGGGAAATCAAACAATATGGTGATAGGTTAGCAAAATATATTTTATGATAATTTGTATATTATAATGAAATTTAGAATGCTTTTGTGCTGTAGAACAATTGCTTTTATTTTTAAATTACTAACTTTTATTTGGTTAAGACATTTATTATATCTTATTTACTATACTACTATACTACTATGTTTTTATGTCTTAGCTTGCTTGTCGAAAATTGCTTTTTTTGTATAGTCAGGTGAAAAGCATGCAATATTATTGAGATAGAAGGAATCGAATATTATATCGAAAATTACCTTTCCTTGCCTAACACCACCTTGTACTAACACTTCGCTTGGTGTGTATCTCTTCAGGTTAGAGAAGGCTAATGCCCAGATTATTACTAGGAGTCGCTCGGGTGTGCCACAATCTGTTGGTGGTCAAAACAGAAATTCTGGATCCAATTCTGATCAACTTGTTAGTGGTAAGGCTACTCCTGAAGAAATTAAAGAAAAAATGGAACAACAGTTGCGTATGCAAAGAGCTGCTCATCAACAGAAAAGAGCTTTAGAAACTCTTAAAAATCCAGCTAACTCCGCTTCCTCGAACACACAACTTGTTAAAGTTACATCTAACTCCGCCCATGGTAATATTATACTATGATTTGATAGTTATAATTGATAAATAGTGTTAAAAATATTTGATTTATTTTTACAGATGGCTCAGTTAAATTAATTTCCAAAGTTGCAATACCAGCAAATCCAAATAGTGGAAGTAAATCCCAATTAACTTCACTTCTAACGACACCTACTCAAAATAAAGCCTTTATCGGAACAAGACGTATTTATATGGCAAAATGTAATTAATCAATAAAATTTATATTCTTTACTTTTATCTATAGCAATAATAATATTATAATAATTGTCACTATATTTTTATTAAATGTTCAGCTGCCGATGGAACAACAAAGGTTGTTTCTGGGCCTACAAGTATTTTACCAAAGACATCTCAAATCCAATCAGGAAATCAGCAGTCTTTAATTAAAGCTGGTTCAGCAGGTAAATTCTTTTTAAATATATTTAATTTTATTAATATGCAGATTTTATAATTTATTAATATTTTTTTTCTATACATCATTTTAGGGACACCTACAGGTACTGTACAGCACATACAACAAAGGGTACAAATTTTAAGAGGACCTGATGGTAAATTACAAGTTCGCGGGTTAATGCCTGGTCAACAATTAGTACAGATGCCAGATGGAAAATTGCATGTATTGAATACAGCGCAAGCTATTACTTCTACTGTTACACATACGGGTACTACTTCAAGTACATCAACTATACAGGTATTTGTTTTTCTTATTTTATAAATTAACAGATTGCTACAACAAATTACCTAAAGTTATTAATTATTTGTAAAAATTTGATTATAGGCTAAATCTGTAACAGCTAATGCAGCTAAAGTTTCTACATCAAATGCATCAAATAAAAATAGTCCAGTTAAAGTTGCAATTATTCCGTCACAAGGATCAACATCACAACAATCACAACAAGTAGTACAAAAAGGTGGAAAATCCTCTGCTGTAGCAATAGCAAATGTTGCTTCTACACAATCTGCAAAGAATGCAATAGTTGTTGCCAATACTGGTCAAATTGTACAGGGAGCGCAGGTCTATATGTGTTTTATTTTTTTTCTTTAATTTCACATAAAATTATTAAAATATCAAATAATTTCTTGTTAAATACATCATTTTCATTTATTATATATAAATTACTTAACTTTTTTTTAATAATGTTTGAATTAATGTGTAGGTAATATCTCCGGGTAGTCAAATTCTTAGTGGAAATCAGATAGTAGTCACTAATGCTAATTTGGCTCAACAACTTGCTTCCGGAAAAGCACAATTAACAACACTCGGTGGACATCAAGTTGTAATTCGTAGTACACCAACAGGAAATCAAATTGTACAGTTAAATCCATCAAATAGTAATATGGTAGTAAAAAATACGGTTTCATCGAACAAACAAGGTAACTTCCTTTTTATCTATATTATTTTTTATCAAATAAGATTATGAAATTATGTTATTTATTATGTATTTTTACAATTCCAGCATTGCAGACTACTCAAAGAATAACATCAACAGTAGCACAAACACCTGAAACAAGTGCAAATATTACTTCTAGCAAATTGACTACATCTACTGCTAATTCTATCGCTCCACCACCTGGAAGCATAGAAGCTTCTTTGTTAGAAAATCAACCACCAGGTACAGTGATAAAATGTATTACAGCTCAGGTATTGCCGACAACACAAGGGCCGAAAATACTTTTGCAAGGATTGACGGGAGCAGATTTTACGCCACAGCAACTTGCAATAGTGCAAGAGCAAGTAAAAAATCAATTACGCAAAGGTATTTTTAATATATTTGTAAAAATAACACCATAAAAACACTTTTAAAATAGTATACAGAAATAAATATTTTAATACTCTTTTGTAACATATAGCTCAAGCAACTGAAGGAATGCAAGTTGTCTTAGGTTCTACAAAAATTTATTTAGCCATTCAACCTGCACCAGGAAGTCAACATGTGCAGACATCTCAAACATCCACAGCAGCAAGTACACCTACTGTTCCGACATCAAAACAACAAGTACAACATCCAACTGATTCCCCACCACCAGCAACAGGTGCGACATTTCTTCTTTTTACATATGTCATAAAGATATGTTACAGTAGTTATAGTAGTTGTTACAGTACTTACATTTATGTTTTAGAGCCTCAAACTGATATAGAGTCTATACCAGAACTTCAACAGGCATCAGTACCAAGTACTCCTGAAAAGCCAAAAGTGGTTGTTCAACAGGTTGATCGTGCCAATAACATTGTTACAGAAGAACCTCCAAAAAGAAATGATAATGGTGAGGACTCATCAGAATCTCTGCAAAATGTAGCTAAAGATGAAAAATTTGTTCTTACGCCAGAATTTGTACAACAAAGTATGTACTATACATTTAATCGTTAAAAAGAAACTTAGTATTTAGTATTTATGCAATCATATTGATATAATTTAAGTTTAACACATTGTTGACTGGTAATTTCAAGTAGAAATTATCTCATATCACAGACTATTACTTCTTAATATGATTTCTATACTTCTTAAATATGAAAGTGAAACAATCTAAATAAACGTCAATATATTTTATTTATGCATAATGAACTAAAATAAAAATTTATACATATTTTCTACACAATTTTTAATAATTTTTGTAATTTGTTGAAATCTAAAATTTTTAATAATAAATCAAAAGCAACCAAAAAAATTTCGATATCTTATATTATCCACAAAAATTGAAGTAGTTAATGTAAGAAACAGAAATTGATTCATGACTAGTCAACAATGTTCAGGCATAAAAACAAGTGTCAATCTGTTACTTTTTTTCTAGCAATCAAATCTGTATTGAAAGCGGAAAATCTTCATCCAGAAATAGAAGAAAAATTAAATCGGTTAAGTAAACATCACGAGAGTATAATCAAAGGAGCAGCAAGCTCAGCAGCTAACAATCAAACTCCGCGTGCCCCATCTCGCAAAAGACCTGCATCCTCCAACATTCCATCAGTAACCACTACTTCAAATATACAGTTAACAACTGAAATCGATACTGATTGGGCAGAAACTCCAAAAAAAAAGTCAACAATAAAACAAGAGAATCGTGAAATCTTGAAGTAAGCGGAGTAATTAATATGATTATTAACATTTTTTATATGATATCCTAAAATTGTACAATATTACAAACAATCACAATAATATCTGGTATTATTATCTAATTATCATCTATTCATTTTGTGTGCAATGATAGAATACAGAAGTCGACTGAACTAATAGACAATGAATCTACACCTAAAACTCGATTTGTAAAATTAAAAGACAGTCAAGAACATAGAAGGAAACAAGTTCAGTCACGAATGCAAGTTTTATTGTTTCGACATAAAGAACTTCTGAAAAAAGATATACTTAAAAAAAGAGCATTACTTGAAAAAGAATTACAAATAGATATTCAGGTATTTGCTAATTTTATTAATTTATATTAAAAAAATATATGTAAATCATATTTCCAATATTATTATATAAACTATAATTTTAGAAGGACCTATCAGCAGAATTAGCAACAAGAACAAAAGCAGAAAGACATAAACAAGATGAAGTTAAAGTAGGAAGTGCAAAACGTAAAGCTAATGCTCAAATAGCACAACAGGTTAGCCCACCAAATCGAGGTGGAAGGCCAAAAAAACATAAGGCACAAGCAAATAGCAACGCATTACCTAGTGCTTCATCTACTACAACTCCAAGTCGAATTAAAAAAGAAAAATTATACTGTCTCTGTAGGACACCTTATGATGAAACAAAGTAAGCACACTAAGTACTGTGTGTATGTATTTGCTATATGTAATTACTTGTATGCATCTTCGCATTTGTTTGCTGTTAATATATATATATATAATTATACAAAATTTAATTAATTAATTTATTAAATAAGGTTCTATGTGGGATGTGACCTGTGTAATAATTGGTTCCATGGAGACTGTGTTGGTATTACTGAGGAAATGAGCAAATCTCTTTCCGAATTTGTTTGTACAGAATGTAGACATGCACGAGATACACAAGAATTATACTGCTTATGTAAGCAGCCTTACGATGAATCTCAGTAAGTAATAACCTTCTTAAGATTATTGAAAATTAACAAGAAATTAAAGAAGTTTTAAATTGCTGTTATCATTTTTATTAATTCCCTATAAAATATTCATATATAAAATCAATTCTTATTTTTACTAGGTTTTACATTTGCTGCGATAAATGTCAAGATTGGTTCCATGGAAGATGCGTTGGTATTCTTCAATCGGAAGCAGACAATATTGATGAATATGTATGTCCTAATTGTCAACGTAATTCTTCTGTGAATTTTGCAAATATGAAAAATCTCAATGCTAAGGATTTGGATTTACTGAAAAAATTAATTAAACAGATACAGGTATACATCTTATCGATTTAAATCGTATAATGCTCTTACGTTTTTTTCTATATATTTCTATTTTGAAATGGGAGTTTCTTTTTAACAAAAACTTATTTTTGAATTTATAATTAGGCACATAAAAGTGCATGGCCTTTTATGGAACCAGTAGATCCAAATGAAGCTCCAGATTATTATAAAGTCATAAAGGAACCTATGGGTATGTATTTATATTTTTCGAAAATAAGTATCTATCAAATTTTACACATATGTATATATATATATATATATATATATGTATATATTATTTGTACGTATACATTGTTTTCAGATTTACAAACAATAGAATTAAGAATAAATGATAGATCCTACAAAAAACTAAGTGAATTTATTGGAGATATGACCAAAATATTTGACAATTGTCGATATTACAATCCAAAAGAGTCCCCGTTTTTCAAGTGTGCAGAGTCATTAGAAACATATTTTGTACACAAGATAAAAAGTTTGAGGGAAAAGTTTTCAGAAGGCAAATAAACAATCAAAACTGTAACTATATAAACGAATTGAAGTGCAAAATTGGCAGTTTAATAGTGCAGTGTAATAAGAATGATCTATACCAGTACATGTAGAGATCAAAACTCAAGGTAGAGATAAGTATATAAAAGTAGGATATATTTATTAGACTTGTGTGATTTTTTTTTCCTTTAACAAGTGAACTCTTTCAAACTTATTCTGTGCAATGGGTTTTGGACTAGAATTTATAATTTCCTATTTCTTGTAACTATTCCAAACTGGTAATGAATCGCCAGTCATATATATAATGAATGAACTGCCTTGTTCACAGAAGAATATAAAATATCTATAATTATGATGTAACATAATTACTGTTGAAATGGTCTAAATAATATACGTGTAATGAGTCTATTTCATTGGTATCGGTCAATTGAATCGTTACTGAATATTTATAATACCTAAAATATGACAAAACTAATTCATTCAATATTTTTAATCATTATAAAAATATCTTATTCTTTATCTATTTTGGAAGATTCTGTATAATAAAATTAGAATGTAAATGTTTATTGAAAAATATGATTGAAATAGGTTGATTTATAAAAGTGAATTTGAAATGTAGAGCAAACATGTTAGATGAACGTTTACTGACATTTTTGATGATTTACAATATTTTATTACTTATATTTTCTTTTATAATTATAAGTTGTGGTTCAAAATTCATAAAGTACAGGTGATATTATTTATATATATATATACATGTCATGAATTAAATGCATGTATATGTAATTATGCATGCTACATAATAATTGCAGATATAATATAAAATTGGTGCCACTTCACATTTAGAATTATGATCAACAACTTTATAGTAAACTAATATAACATGTTTTTGTCAAACGAAGAAAATTTAGTCATTAAGGACCATTGAACAGGTTTCATTAATATAGTAATGGTCTAATCACTATTTCATTATTGATATAGTTCATTTATATAAGCGTTCTGTGTCGTATAGCTGTAAGACTAATTAGAACGCGCATAATAAATTGTACAAATTTGTTTATTGTGCTCACAAGTAATTATTATTACATTGTTTTAATCACATAAATTTTCTATGAAATTGTTTATAAGCTACAGATATAATGTTAGATTATAAGAAGTAAGCAGATATCTGCTTTGTATATATGCAAGTAAAAATATCTATGAAAAACAAGAGCTTTTGTTTGGTAGCACTCAATACTAGAATCAATCTAAGAATGGAAAGCTGTGTTTTCAATACAAATATTGTTTATATTATAGCTATTAAAAATAATTGAAAATTAATAATTATATGCGAAGGAATCATTATATTTGGTTTCGTATTCTGAAGAAAAGAATTTGTCAAAGTATAGTAGTTGGCAATAAAAATGTTTCATGGGCATAACATGAACAAACAATATAAATATATACATAAATATACAAATATACTGAATAAAATTAAAGAAGTTATAAAGCTTCTAAAGTATGATTGTGTAAACAACAAGAATGAAAGTAAATATCGAATATATAAACTGGAGTTTGTGAAGCAAAGAATTTCTGTAACTTTATAGTTTTAAATAATTGTTTGGATAAAAAATTTCTCCATGCACTTTTAATTCTGAGAATAAAATTAAAAAATATACTTCATGCATATATACTTTATAATATGGACATTTATAATATTTCCTAAAATCAATGAGATTACAAATATCATCTGGCATGCCTTATTGATTCTTAATTGTTTATTTAACGTGAAAGCAAATTACTCAAAACAGGTTGTACATTTTTGCCAGGATAAAGCTTGTACAGTATTTTTAATTCAAAATCGCAAGACCTGGCACTGATCTGTTTTTTACCTTCAACTTTTGATTACAGTTACGAAATGTATAGATTAGGTTTCAGTCTCCAGGTTTATACACTTCAGTAGCTACACTAATTCATTTTAATCCATCAACAACACGCATTTCATTAATCAAGAATATTTTGTATTCTAATATTAATTATATGTATTCTTCACATGTACAGTTTTAAAGCCTTGCGTCATTATATATACATAAATATAAATAAGTACATGAAGATTATTTACACATACTCAGTTTTTTTTTTAACAGGTACGTTATAATATGAGATATTAAAGCTTTGTAAATTATTTGTCTCATTGAAATAATAGTACCATTGAATGCACGTGCTACTGAACTAGTGTACAAACCAGGTAACAACTGAGCAGCTAGTTTATATTGTACGCTGCACTATTTCACTTTCTGCTTATATATCATGTAACAAGGTGTTTATTTCCATTAAAGAGAAAGCAACAAAGTGTGACTAGATAATTACATTCTTCTAAACCTAATATTGCATAGTTTATAATAAATATTTGTACTAATTTTAATTATAAACTTTGTTGTTTTTATTACATTAAGATATCAATTAGGAACATGTAAGTCTTATATATTAGCTTATCTTTTTTAATTTGTAATTGTTTCAAAATAATAAACTGCTGGATGACAGTGATTTGACGAAACATAGTAAATATGTTATTACTATTTTACTACATTGATATAAAATGCTTAGGTGCTTAGAATAATCATAGATAGTTTAAAGGCACATTTAAAATAAATGAGACATTGGTACTAATAAATTAATGGAGTAGAATAATAGCATATTATAATATACATGCTTTAAAATGCATATTCTTGATATTATAAAAAGTAAACTTATATATGTATTATAATGGCGGTGAAATATGATAATGAACACATCACAAAATTTATTTTTCTTAAAATTGCAATATGTACTAATGTACAGTGTCTTATTGTACTAAATTAATCGCGCGAAAGTCAAAAATAATCGATCTTCAATTTTTGATTCATTAGTATTATTATTCCTATACAATTATTAATAATAGTATGGTAAATATTTTATTGGAATCTTAATGTTTATCAGAAATTAAGAATTCTGTATATTTTTACAAGATTATTATTCATTTATTGATTATATATTAATCGAAAACAAGAGAATATATAATACGTCATAAGGTATTAATGCATAAATGTCATTAAAATATTATTATGCTTGTGTAATCCATAGAGTTTTTGTAGTGTTTTTATACAATGTATGAAACATATTTTTATGATAGTATATGCATTTGAATTTTTGCAATAAAACATTATTATCAGAATGTTGTCCAAAAATGGAAAATATACAACAAAGTATTATAAGAAATATTAAAGTAAGTATTACGCACTGTGGTTTTCAAAATCTTTTTGGTTCATTTTATACAATGAATAATTTTTTGGGTTGGCATCATACATCTTTTTCTGGAGAACTTCCAAAAATAAAAACGTAATTCTTGCTTAATTCAAAATTATAAAATTGTATATATATTTGTATAATATTTATATTTTAACAAATTGGATTTATTCAATATTTGGGTGATTATCTAAGATCAATTAGAAATTATTTAGCCTACATCGATAGAAATGTATTCTTTTAAATTTTTATATGTAGTTATGTCTACTACTTTATTTCTTTACAATCGTAAATTTATTCCGGCTGCTTTATCATGCTAAGGTCATCATGTAAGTATAATCTATAAACAATAATTAGGAATTATTGAATTGTTTTGTTATAATATCTTTAATTCAGATTTTCTTTAAATTTATATATTTTTATAATGCAATTCTGTCCTGCTATAAATACTGACTATTTATTTAAAATATTGACCAAATAAATAAAAGTGTTTTACTTGACTTTCTATTTAGAAAGCGCATAAATACAGGAAATAAATAAAGGAAATGCAAATAAATATAAATAAGAAAAAAAAAGAAAATTAGCTATTTCTGTTACGTAAAGTTCAAATGAAAAAAACTTTATAAAAGATGTATATAATATATACATCCTTTTTTCTTCATGATTATTTATAAATAATGTCAGTGCTATTAATATTGTTTCTTTCAAGTAATGCTTTGGAAAATGCATTTTTAATTTATTTACTTTGACATAACTTTATTTTATACAAACATATTTATTATATTTTTATTACCAACATGTCGAAAAAATTATGTATTTGTTATTTTTCACATTATGCGGTATTATTAAGGATTAAAAAATCTCTTTAAGATATCAATTATCTCTTGTTTCGGGTTCTTCATCATATGCAGCCATGACTTTTTCCATTATTTCCCAAAGTTTATCTCTTGTCAAATCTTTACAGAAAACCTGTAATGTTAAATTATTGTTATTTATTATTGTAAAATTATTGTAAAAGTAACTTAACCGAGAGTTTTGTTAATACTTACATTAAACCAAGGTTGTTGATCACATTCATCCATTAATGGAACAACTACACCATAAATTTGTAAAGCAAGATTGATACATGCTATTGCTATTAAATGTGGTGGATAATCAAGTATAGCAGGAGAATGATGAAAATCTTGTAATAGAGCCATACTGGTTTTAGCTACTGGATATTTTGACCATTCTTCTTCTCCAAACCAAGCTTGCAAAGATCTCAAATAGTGCAACATGTACTGAAAAAAAAACAAAAATACAATCGTAAAAGCGATATAATTCATTATTAATTTTCAAACTTATCCTATGATTTAAGTTACAATTCTAAGAAATATTAATTCATAAATATTCCCAATAAACAAGGTGTCCTAAAAATTTTGTTTAACATTTTTAACTTTAACGAGAAAAGAAAAACGAAAACATCGTACACATAAAGACTTTAGTATATAATAAATGCAATATTTTTCAATTTGGTAAAGTGACTTTTAGGACATTCTTCAGATAAAAGTAATATAATTAGATAGAAAAAATACTTACTTTGTGTGGATGCACTGGGCTTACTTGAAACTTCAACATACGCATGATGAGAAGTTCAGCTTGCACAATAGCATCTCTCATACTCCAATACTGTTCTCCTAACTCCAGTGGTTGTGAACCTCTGTGAAGTGTGCTATATGATACATTCATCACATCTCTTATTTTTAAATTATCATCTTTTGCTTTTCCTGCCAGATATAAGCAAGTAGCTGCTATTAACTATAGAAAATATAATTTTATTAGCAAATATAGATATACATTTATTTTATAATAATATTTTATATTTTATTTTTATTTCTTACTACTATGTGTCTAATTAAATAGCTTACATAATTATCATATCCTTGGGCGGTAGCTTCTTTCATAAACCTATGATATAAAGTTGCCGCTGTTGCAATTGTTAGAAAATGAACCTCTAATTTCAAACCTATAAGCAGATTTCATTAAAAATATTTTTAAAAATATAATATACTAAGTACAGTATATAAACTTACCACATTCAAATATGAATCTTGAAACTGCAAAATTGTCATTAGCTTTAGTATAATCGATAGTAATACTTTTCTGCAACGTATTCCTTTTCTCTCGTTGCATTGCCAATACATCTATTACATCCTTCATCTTCGAACTACACATTTAATACGCATATTAAAATTTCTCATAAAATATATTAAATAAAAAATATAAAATTTTGTAAAATTTATATTGGATTTTATTTTTATAAGAAAAAAATATATCAACAGTAAAAGTAAGCACACATTGTTGACGGTATACTGAAATGGATCTTACCTCAGTTCCCACACATTTTCAGAAAATAAGTTAAATATGAATTCATCTAATGAAAGCAATGAAAATGTTCCATTAAACAAAATCTTTTATAATCATTATCAGAAGTACTGTCAGTTATATTATCATTTTCAACGTCGCTTAATACATATCAAAATTTGCATAATATTCTATAGAATATTTTTTAGATTGACGCTTCCTTTTTAATTAATTGTTCTAAACTGAATTGATGGTCTATAGAACAAACATAAAGTCATATTAATTTAATATTTATTATTTACACAATAATGGTTGCGTACAAATTTAATTTGATGCATACAAAATGTAAATTTTTGCCTTCTATCTTTGCACTTTAAAAATACAACTCATATCTTCAATATTTAGAAAATAGAAGTGGATTCACACTTCCCATCAACAATGTGTGAATACTGGACAATAAATAATTTAGCAATAAGACAACCGGCAAATTTCAGATTCTTTCTAACCCAAAATACAGGTTTTATATAATACCTTAGCGTTTCAGTAGTTGTCGGTTCCGTTGGATTCATTGTAATAAAACAACAATTACTCTCTCTTTCGTAAAATAAAATAATTAAATTAATTATAAATTATATGAAATATGTTTATTATCTGCGTCAGAAATAAGCAACACAATTTTCACCACTTCTATAAACTTTTTCATTAATAATATGATTAGATAAGAGGAGACTGCATCCATTAAATTTGGTTCTCAATTTTTATTACTAGCGCTAGTAATATAAAATTATAGTTACAAAATATTATTAATTGGACAAACTTCTTGCAGATTAAAAGTAACCAATCGTATTTTACCTTTTCAGAAAAAAAATTATCCAAATTTAATAAAATTTATGATGTCAATTTTAATAACAAAGAAACTAGTAAATATAACAGAACTGAGAGAAAAAAAAATAGAGGGGTTCTTTTATATTTCTCTTGTTGCGTCGAGTTTACGCACAGTTTATCTTGTTGCACGCGCAAAATTTATCTTGTTGTGCGCGCAGAATTTGTTTTGCATACGCAGTCGTCATTGGTATTGGAGCTGTATACAAGGAGGACGATCGAGATAGGCGTTTGCGTCGAATTTGTGTTGTTGAAAATGGCTGAATATCGAGTACGATAATTATCCACGAGGGCGGCGGTGATGTTCTTAAATTTAGATCTAAGTATGTGTGATTTTATAAATAAACAAATGAAATTAATAGGTCTCTTTGATGTTTTTATTTTAATTACTGTTTTTAAAAACCAGACTAAGCGACAAGACGCGCTCTCTAGTGGCAATAGAAATCATTCTTTCATTGTAAATATTGTACCACATTTATAACACGGCGATCATTCTCCTTGTATATAGGCTCCATGAGTATTTGCATCAGCGTTAGAGATATTATGGCCAGAGAGAGTTCTATAGTCTACGTTCTCTGTTCGCTGGGTATATACGATACGTCTCTTACTGCGCAATTAGTTCACGCAAAGAGAGATAAAATATAACCTGTCCATTTTCTATCTCTCTCAGTTCTGGAGTCATCACTTTCAAGACGTAAGTGGGAGTTCAGGTATAATACATCCATGCAAAATAATTGTATTTGTTTTTAAATGTCGTTCTTTGGTTATAATTTTTATTCAAGTGTAAAAAAGATATCTCCATGAATATTTAATTGAATCAAAAGATAAAAGAGAATCTTAATAAATTTTAAAGTTCATAATATTTACCTTCAATTTGTACTATGTTAGATCACCTCGTATTATTAAGTATTAAAAAAAGTATAATTTCAAATGATCTCTGTGTGTAAATTTAATTTAAAATTATATATTATATATTATAATAATTTTTTATAAGAATGAGATTTCTTTTTTATTTGTATCAAAGACGTATAAGGTCTAAGATTTGGATCAGGTAGAGAATTTATACCAGAAGTAGCTCTTTGTAAATCTACTGTATATCTTCCTTGTTCCAAGCTGAAAATGCAATGATAATATTTATGGTAATTTTTTTACAAAATATCTTTAAATATGATAACATTTGATTTTATATTAATTGTATATTTTTGAAACGATATTTACCTAGTTAAAGATGACTCGATATTGTTTGTACTATTGCTATTAGAAAATTGTACCATTTCATGTACATTATTTTCACTTAGCTTTCCATTATAAATTAATATATCATCCACTAATATCTAAAGAAGATAAATATATTTATCATTATATTTTTGATAGAAATATTTTTCTTTGTCTTTTATATAAATTTTATAACTTAATGTTTGCTTACTGCAAATTCTTTTATTTTTCTTGATTTAGTTTTTCCATAATTCCATATTTTTATAGCACTCACAGTTGTAGGATAAGAAAATATGATATAAATACGATTTGTCTAAAAATATCACAAGGTTAATAAAATTGTCAATGATTTTCATATTGAGATAAAAATAATATTAGTATTACTTACTTCTCCAGGTAAAATTGGTGCTAACCATGAATGTTGACCATCGTTATTATCATTCATACCATCTATCAATTTATCTGGTGTTCTTACATCATTATCAATTCCTTCTAATATATTTACACTTTCTGGATAAGCTGCTATATCTAAATAATATTGGTCAATATTATCAAATGAGACAATGAAAAATATTAATTATTTTTCTTCTATATACTCACTATTTTTATTTAACTTGATTTGATGACCATTAATACCAAACAATTCAATACCATTGAGACCCACATAATAAGAATCACCCCAACTTGAAAATATCATTATTTGATATATAAAACCCTGTGGCATTGATGGTACTTCATAATCCATATTAAATGGAATAGTTTCTATCTCTTTAATACAAAAAGTTAATAACATATTATATTTATTTAATGATATATTATATATGTGTCCCTATATGAAAAAACGTTCGTTTAGATTTTCAACTTAGTTTTTCATGTAGAACAAATCTCTGCTTACTTGCACTATCAGTTACAAAACACCATATATAATATTTTAATAGATATTATACATAAACTTTTATGTTATTACCTTTTTGGGGCAAAATTGAAGACGTATTGAACTTTGATAATGTTGGCTCATTGTCAGAATGGCAAATAAAACTTATTTCTTGTGCAAAATGATAATGACAATTTCCAGGAGCTCTTCTCAATAAAAAACTATCACAATCTTCTTCAAATATTGGTTTTCCATCCAATTTAATAAATAAATTTTTTACCTACATTGAATAATTGTTATATACCAAATGCTTATAAGCACTAACCATGTCAATTTTTTTATTTTATTATTATAAAATGCTTACACCACAATAAGACAACTCCAGAGATGCGTTATAATTCCAGAATCTCATACCAGTGATGTATACCTCCTTGTCAAATGTAATTGTTATAGTAATTTCTTCATTTTCATTTATATAATTAATTAACCACATATGATCTTTATCAGTTGTTATATTGTACCCGTTAATCAATTTTAAAAGATTTGTATTATCTAAATTGCATTTTAAGTTAACATTAATTGTTGGCAAAATCACATTTTGATCTCCAATGAATTCTATTCCATTAAGACCTATACATAATTAAATAATGTAAATATAACTATTATCAATTAATTACGATATGAAATATTTACCTACTGTTCCAGCAGCACCCCAATTTGAAAGAATAATTAGTTGAATTTCCTTACAAGAAAGGGACAGTGCATTATATTCACTGCCACTAGATACATTTGAACGATTTCCAACTGAACAGTCACTCTTACGTCTTTCAAATGTTATCTACAATATAATAATATAAAATTACCAAGTGTGTTCATAATACATATGTGTAACAATATAATAATTCAATATTATTTATATATACATTTGAAGCAGTTGTTACTGTTGCTGGTCTATCTTTTTCTTTTCGCGCATAATTAAGGATATCATCATTAGTAATTGTAAACATCTCATCATTTATTGATACCATTTCTAAAATATTTTCATCAGTCGTAAACAAAATTGTCTGTAAACACAAATAAGATATTTTATAGAAATAATTTCTAACATATCAAAAAATATATGTTAAAATATCTTACATCCCCGAAAGAATTAACATCGCCTTGTAAGTCCCCAGATGCTCTAGCAATTTCTCCATAAAAAATAAGTGTCTTATCCAATGTAATTGTGATATCCTTAACTCCTCTATATGAATGTATTCTAGATTTATTATAATTCTAAAAATAATAAATAGTAATATGAAAATTTCATTAAAATATTATAATATATTTGACAAAACTCTTACCCATATTCTAATCATAGCAATTGTTACAATATCTTGAAAAATCATATAAATGTAATGATGATTTCCTTCTGTAAATGGGATAAGCCACAAATTAGCATCATCTCTTGTTCTATTCACTCCATTAATAAGATTATTATATATACGAGAATCATTATATTCTGGTAATTGGTTTATAATTGATGGATCTTCTGATATCTATAAAAAAAATTGTGTAATTAATATTAAATATAATCACATTAGAGATATATATTCTATTAAATCTTTATATCAATAACAAACTGTTTACCTTACTTATGGATACAAGTTGACCTGTATCCGAAAAAATCTCAATTCCATTGAGACCTACATAATGTTTATCTCCCCAAGTACTGAGAATATCAATGATTAACTGTTGACCACAAGGAAGATCAGGCACAATAAAATTTCTGCATCTATCTATGACAGAACCAAATAATACCACATTATAGTCCAAATTATTTATAATAAATATGAATTTGTACACTGACCTGATCTGTAATCTTGACAATAAACAAGTTAAAAGATCACTAAGAGTTTCATGAAGTTCAAACTGCGAGTTATGTACCATGATGAAAAACATAAAAACCAAACTATAGGACTTTTTTATATCTGAGTTTATTTAAAATATCAATAGTGCTAACCATTACATATAAATTAATTTCTTTATAATAACCTACCTTGAATTGAATGTTTCTCATTTTGTTGAAAACTAGATTTACAATTAGGCAAACTTCTATGTGTAGATTTTTGTTTCAATATATTACTATTATCCTGGCCAATTTCTTCTGAAGAAACCACTTTATGGTGATTCTTTCTTGCTGGTTCACTATTTGTTATATCACTATGATATATTGAATTTGGGTTTGTTCTTATTTCATTTGTTGTAGTTCCTTCTGGTGCTAAGCCAGACAAATAATCTAATCTTCTCTTAATGATTCCTATTATAATTTATAAAGAAATTAATTATTTCATGATTTCTAAATAAATTAATGATTTGAAGATTAATTAGTGATAATTAAATACATTTATACACAGACATATTATCAAAATATTGTATTTTGATATTTAAAATACTATAGAAACATACCACTTGGTAAATTATTTTTAGGATCTTGTTTTCTAATGGCATTATTTCTGTGTTTAGAATAAGTTTTATATCTTTGTTGTGTTAACAACTGATTGTCCATCTTATATCCTTTTTTCAATATATCTGATTGAAAACAGTCATTATTTTGCTTCTTAAAATCATTAAGAGTCTGCAGTTCATAGTTAAATTTTCCATTGTTTTTAAATCTTGTAGATTTGATCTTGTCATAGTACTTATCAATTTTTCTTTTCTCCATATATTCATCAAGTGCACTAAAATCTCTTTCAATAGAATTTTGATCATTTGAATCAACAACAGCAGAAAGAGCACGAGTGGAAGTATGCTTGATATTTATCTCTGTATGATTGGGAGAATTGGGAAGTGATTTACTAGTGCACGATTGCAGTAAAATCTCACCATCAACATCTTTTATATTATTTATTGTAAAAAATGGTTTGTAAGATTGCCCGTATCTAGATTATTTATTAAAAGATTGAATAAATATTTCTATATATACATATTGAAAATTATTATACCAAATTTAAATAAAGACTTACAAATTATCAATATCTTTCTTTAAAACAGATGTTTTATCTTCTAAAGGAGTTTGCTCAAATGTATGTTCTTTATGTATTGAATGTTTTTCTATTTGCAATGTCTTATAATCATCAGTCACGTTTAATCTCTTAACATTCCTATTAAATTAAACAATTTCAATAAAATATTTATATATGTGATCTGCTAAAAATATAATTTTTGTTTCAGAAATTAAAAAAATATACAATTTTATCAATTACATACTCAGTCATTTCTACCAACCATGATGGTAGTTTGTTCAATATATTAGTAGATAAAAGTTTGTTGTTTCCTGTAATATTACTTTCACTTTGCTCCATTTTACAATTTATTTTTTTCTACAAAATTTGCCACGTTATATTAATATAAATCATTTATTTATAAATTGATACTAAAATTTCACTATATCCAGCTCATAATGTTCATTGTATTTTCAATTTCACGAATTAGATTAACAATATTATTTTATAAACATAATGCCAAAAAAGTAAAATAAAAAACGTTGTAAATGTTACATATTATAATAAACAATTGTATGAATAATGCGTAATATTCTACATTATATTATATGCATCGTATTAATTTTAATTATTATTGGAATTGTCTATAGATTTGCTAAGTGTATAAAAAAATTCTTATTTGTCATACTCTGTTATCAATTTGTTTGGTATTGTTACCATAGTTACTGTTGGGTATCATTGACCTTAAAGGATAGATGGCTCTTAGAGTGGTATTAACACATATAAATATAATCTTAATGCTTATTAATTATTAGTTTTATAAAGAAATGAATAGTGGTTTATTTAAATGTTATATACCATAATAAAATGCATGGCTTGTATTTTACAATATTTTTATTTCACATAATTACCATTTTATCAATATAAAATCATATTAATAACATTAATATTACACATTTTACATACTCGTATTTACATACTTGGTTCACTGCAAATTATATGCAGTCAAAGTATGTAGTGAAAGATTTAATATTCAATTAGTAATTGTTTTGTACTCTTTTTCTTTTAATAAATAGTATTATCACCACATATTTAGACACTCGTTTTTTCTTTCATTATTTCACAATATTAATATACGTATTATGTACATAAATATGTATAAATATGTATATTGTTTAAATTATTTAAACAATATTTTATAAAACAAAATTTCTCTAATAAAGCATGGTAATTATGATAACATTTAATCAACACAAATATTAAATAATTTATATAATAATCAAATTTTTAATAGACTATATATAATCTTGTATTTATAGTTATAATTTTACATTAATGCTCTATAGCATTATAAAGTTATTTATTGAAGAAATTTAGTATTAAGAAAGTGACAAGATTAATTTTGGCACATTAGATAGTCAAAAAGAAAAACTATACTTAAAAAGAATTGTATTGTTTCTAATAGTTGTCACTATTGGTGATAATTTACATAATCTTGCATATTGTTCATTCTATTTTCAAAAAAATCGGTTGAAAAGCATATCTTTGGCTTTTTATGTCATCAAAGCTTGTTATTATTATAAAAACAATTTTTTTTCTATATAATTATATATATTAAACTATATTAATTATAAATATATGAAAATTATATATATATATATATATAATCATCAGTATGTATACTGGTAAGCTATATAAAATAATAGTCAACAATTAAATCAAAAATATGTTCTCTCAATATTAAATAGATCAAACGTACTATAAACAATACCTATTTTTCGGTACTCATATTTCGAATACTGTTTTACTATAACTTTACACTAGTTTTATATTTACATTTTGCATACTTTTGTAATGGCTGTAGTAATGTATGATAAAAATTTTTTATAGTGATAAAAAGATTGGAATTCTAAAGTTTCTACTCATATATAACAAATTTTTCTATAAAAACTTTGTTTATATGGAAGATTGGAACCAAATACAGTCTTTACTGAGTTTTCATTGAATATTTCAATATCTTTTTTGCAAAACTGTTAATATATAGGAAAAATATTATATCTCAATCTAAATCTCTAGGTGAGATTGTACTATATGGGGTAATGGTGGCACATTTGGTAGATCGATTGAGACCGTTGAACCTATTGCAGGAAATACATGATTTAAAATTGCATAATAATGAAATCCAGCAGCAGCAGCTACAAAAAGATGCCAAATTGCATGTGCACAAGGTATTCTGCCATCTGATTTAAAAAATATTAAACCCAAAATATAGATAAATCCTCCAGTTTTTAATTCAGTTATGTTGTAGTAGTCATTCTGCAATAATTAAAAACATTTTATAATTATATGAAAATAGTAAGATAAAGATATATATTAAACAATCAACAATTAATTATTTTATATGATATATTTAAAAAAAATTCTGTTATATGTACACTTAATTATTATGTTTTAGTTCTAACTTACAACATTAATAATTGCTACACTTGGACCAATACCTATGACCAAGTACATAATGGTTTCAAGCATTTTATAACGCTCATGGAAAATTTGTTGATAAAGGATTCCTAACATTGCCATAATCCAAACAGCATACCTCATTGTAAAAAGTAGTTTATCACCTGGGAAATGATCTACATTTAACCATGGAAAGTAACTAGCAGCTATAAAGATATAAATCATGGCACGATCACAGCGATGCAATGCGTCTTTTAATTGTCTGAAATATAAACCACAATAAGATATAAATATATGATAGTAGTATAATTCATTAAATATATTCATAAAAAGTATAATTCATTATTACCTGTTATGATTACAGTAATGGACACTATGAAAAAATGTGGATACTACAAAAACAAGAATCAGTGAAGTTCCATAAACGCACGCGGAAATAAGCTGTGTCCATGTTATAGAACGTCGAAAAAGTTCTAAACTGCAGATTATAGAAGGGACTATCCAAATTCCATGGGTTGCCACATTAGCCACATGTTCTATGGCAGTAGGATTATATGCCTGGTTTGTACATGCTCGTGAATTCATCCATTTTATTCTATAATAAATCAAATTTCACTTTTATGCATTATATAGTTACATGAATAAAAGTATGGCTTGAAGATTATTGTATAATGAAACACATCAATGTTCTTACATAAGAAAAAAGAAGACCATTAAATGTTACATCATAAGACCTTTGGAGTTATACTTAGAGAGTATAGCAAAATCACTAATTTTTTAAAATCATTTTACTTTACTATTATATACATGTATATATAATAAAATAATTCAAGCAAATGGGAAAGCTCTTACAACCACATGATATGTATTTGTGTATATGTGTGTGTGAGTGTGATATTTGTTCATTTTTAAATATTTAAAGAGCTTATTATGAACATTCATATCCTGTGGTCGTACATCGTTTATAATAAAATATAGTACATACTTATTATCTATGTCTTAAAGGAAAATATTTCCATACTCTCCAACATGCTGATGAGCCTTTATTGTTGTATGCCCAAATACCTTAGATTTCTGTATTATTTTGTAGAACATCATTTTTGTGATATTGATGTTCTATTTATTTATAAGCAGTGTAACTGCATTCCACTCAGTTACTTCAAATTACCCTATACATGCATATGTTAGCGTTACTAGATAAGAAACAGAAAAAATAGGCAAACAAGAATAAGAAAAATAAATATAAAATGAATATCTACTTATAAGATAAAAATAATGCATTGTGAAATACTTACATTAGTAATTTGAATAACTTAAGTTAATTATATTAGTGTAAAGCAGGCCTGTCTTAAAATATTATATATTATTTTCATATAATACGTAACATGCTATATATATATAAATAAAAAATTTATGTATTATTCAATGGATCAGTTTCAATGTTAGTTTTTTAATAGTTTTGAAATATATTAAAAAAAAATATTATATTTATTTATAATATATTAATATCAATGATAATATCTTACATAAATTTAATTCGATAATGTTGATTAAAGTTGTTATACATCTTAAAAGGATCAATATTATTTAATATAAACCAATCAGTAGTTAACTTAAAGCAAGGTTTAATTAAAACTATTTGCCATTTATTACTTATTACTGTCTATTTATTTATAAATATCTATATTTTACATTTTCTATTTAATATAATACAATTTTTCAAATATGAAACATTATTTTTTAAATACTGACATTAATTTTTTTCTTACAGTTGTAACTATTTTTATTTCTTAAAAACAATACTACTTGCTAAAAGATCTTTAATTTGCCAATAAAACAATACCAGCATTGAAAAAATAATTAAGAAAAAAGAGAACAATAAAAGCGGACAGAAACATAATAAAAGACAAAAGAAAGAAGTAAAAGTAGAGAAAGTAAAAGAGAAAGAAAAAGAGAGAGCGAGAGAAAAACGAACAAATTAATTGCCATACACGATCGAAAACTCTAAATAATGAAATCCTTTTTTAAATAATTAACATCTTACTCTTTTATACGATGTAATCGGAGAAGATTTTTTATAGGTTCTGTGACGATCTGATGTATGTAGGATTTATCCATAGCGTTGATGTTGGACTTTACTCCGCACGTTTAACTCGTTTAAATATCGATGCAAAAAGTATTAATAAAGCTAAATATATATATTTTGTTTCATATTGCCGTTTGGTCATACATTATTAAATTAATGCATTTTACAAAATGTTACTGTGATTTATATGTTAAAGCAACGAACAAAAACAAGCAGTAGCAAGCTCAGCTGTCGCCGAGTCACTAACGTAATCAATTGCTGTCCAGCTGTTATACTGCTTGGCGAAAGGATAAAAGGGAGAAAGATAGTGCGAAAAAGTAAATGTGTTGTGTAGAAAAACGTGTTACGAATATAAGTATGTGTTCTTTTTCGCGACGATCTCGGGTTTACACGACCACAGAGAACTGAAACCTAATACATATAAAAAGTATAAAAATAATACCTTAATAATCTTTTCGTTTTATAATCGTATTATAAACTATTACTAACTATTTGAAAGAAAAAAATATTCGATAATTTAATAAATGTATAATCATTAACGAGCTTATCGGTTGATTTCTTTTATTTTTCATTCTTTCGATTATATAAAACATTTAAGCAAAATAATCAATATGTATGAAGTAGATATGCACGTATAATGAACTTATAAATATATATGTATAATTTTTTTATTTAAGCATGATTATTAAAATAAATGCCTCTCGTATAAAAAACATTTGACAAAAAGTCAATTTTAAATTTGCATTACACGCGCGAAATACGAACAAATATTTGAAAAAACATGAATGTATGTGAATATTTGATATGCGTTAACGGTTATGCAATCGAACAATTTGTTGGTATATAATGGGAGAATTTATTAATTAAAAATTAAATATAATCTTAAACAATATGATTGTTATAATTTGTATGAAAATTGTTATATATTGAAAAAGTATTCTAATGTCATCCGTAATTATTGTATTACTTTGTAGCAATTCATGTCGATAGAGTTATTTGCTTAGACATGACCAATTGACGTTCACAATATAATTATTCTTACTCGATCACGTGCTCTATTCTGAATGACGATTTCCTCACGAAACGTGAACGTATAGCATACACATTTTATAGAACAGAGAAGTGCATATAAAAGAAAATTTAAAATTATTTATTATTATTAGATTAATCGTTACATTTATGGTAATACAATAGTTATTATTAAATAATACAATATTAAGTTATAATACATTAACGCATTTGGTTTCATGTCCAATGCTATTGTTAATTGAATGACCTTGAGAAAAGATACGAATATCATCATCTCACGTAAAGTCAAATATAATTATTGCATATTTGGTATATGCCTTATTTATGCACATTTATAATGTACATATAAATATTCTGATAATGCTTAAGAATGTATAACAAAGTTTTTAATTTAATATCATGAAATATATTATGTTGAAACAGCCTACAAAAGTTTAAAATATATGATGAAATTAAAGTAATATCTCGATTTATATTATCGATTAAATTTAAATTACAGAAGATATAATGGAGTATTTCATTAGCCAGTATAATAGTTCATTTGACGCAACTCATAGTAGACCTTGAAAATAGTTGCAGATCGTATTTACAAGAAAACTTATATTTTATAAATATATTGATAATTTTATCAATCAATACATTTAGTAAACGATTGAATCTTCTTATAGATCGATTTAATTCAAATTTGAAAATCTTAAAAATTACAATTAATTTATTTTATAAAAAAGATTATAAGACTTCTAGTTTAATAGAAAATAAAGAATAAATATTTGTTAACCTTTTCGCGCGCGGTACGGCACTTGTCTTGCGTAGTATTATTGACGGGCGAAAACAAATATGGCGCGGTGCACTTTCATTTAATTTTTGTTTTTTAATAGTCTTAGGAATACTTACAATTTGATATGTTAATCATAATAAACAAAAGAAAAAAGATTTCTTGGTTTTAAATTTGATAGACAAGATATATTTTATATTGAAATATATAATTAATGTGAAAAATCGATTTTGTGTAATTATATTGAAAATTATATTAAATTATATTAAAATCAGCAATCGGCTGTGTTATTTATTTGCCAGCTGCCGATTGAGGTCAACGATAGTACTGAAGAGGTTAAAGAATTTAGCATTAATTGAAATACTCGATATTTATTTGCCACTGAAAGTACTGTACTTCATTTGGATTTGTTGAATATGTATAAATACGATCACCAAAAATTTTTTACTAACAGACATATTCTCTACCAATGCACAATAGTAACAAACCCATTTCGTAAAAAACTTAAATGATTAAACATATAAATTAAACGTATAAATATTTTTATTCAATTTAATTTTATTCAAATTACATTTTTATAAACTATTAAAAGAATTCCAAACTGTATTTCAAATATTATTATTATTTATAAAAACTTATTTTGCTAAAAATAAATATTATGATTATAATACAAAAATAAAATATTATTTGTAGTACGAAAATTGATAACAAATAATAAACATAACAACAGCAGTTAAGAAAATGTAATAGTATTTCATAGCTAGGCAGGCTATTGACAGCTGATGATGAGTCGCGCGTATCTATTGCTATGGTAACGCGGAATATACGGAACGTGGAACAGCGATTCATATGTTCCTTCATTTCACAAATTCAGCTGTAAGCGTCAGCTGTTCAATATGGAATAGCAAGTACAGTCACTTGTAGGAATCATTCGAAGTCGAACTAGTTGGTCGTTGGTCCCCATAACATAAACGCGCGCGTGCGTGTGTGTTTGTAGAAGAGAAAGAAGCAGTGAGTTGAGAGTGAGAGTGAAAGGGGCGAAAGAGGAGAGGAGTGGGAAGGAGAGAAAGCGAGAAGAGAGAGCGAAAGCGTGAGGGAGGCAGAAAAACGAATCAAGGATAGTAAGCAGACGGAGAGAAACATTCGTACGAGCATCATACGTGCGATTTATGCAAAATCTCGCGCGTAACGTGGATGTATTAACGCAAGGATTTAAATACGGGATAACTGGACTAATGAACCTCACAAATCAAACTGCCGATCCTCCGAGTGGTGTATTCTTTGTTAATTTTAATCAAGATTGCACGTAAGTGTTATTATGCTTTTTAAAGGATCGAACGAGTTCGATGAAAACTACGATATCCATTCTTTGTTTCCTAACCTTGTTCTCCTTTCTATAAGGGTGGGAGAATATTCATGTGGGATATAGGCGGGGAGAATAACTAAGTTTCTTACACCTATAAAACGTGCGATATGATTTTTCCCTCCGTCGCGCGCATGGCGTCATCGTTCATGACAATCGAGGTTTTTCGTTCGTGCTTTTTCTATGCATCGTCGTTATTCGCGTTGTTTTCATTAATTGCATCACTCCATTTTTCCTTTCACTGATTCCTGCGTTTTAACCAGTTATCTTTGTGCTCTTATTTTATTGCGTATTATGCGCTACTAAAAAAGTAATCAAATCTTTATGTGAGTACTTCATTTTGTTTCTGAATACTTCTTCCTCTTCGATCTGTCATTACAAAGAAGAGTCTAATGTTTATTTATTTTCATGTTTATATAGTTTTTTATCGTAATTAGATAAACTATTTATAATTAGTAATTTGTTTTTGTAGATTCGAAATAGGAATATTTATTTATCTATGCCTACATATCATCTTAATTTGTTTACAGATCATTAGCAGTGGGATCGAAGACAGGTTACAAACTTTTTTCCCTCAGCTCTTTCGATCATCTTGAGAAAATATATGAAAATGGTAATAGTTTATTATTAAATAATTTTCTTATTGCTATATGAATCTTACTTTGGTCATTAAATATGTATATACATATTTTTTATATGTAGTTAAAAATATTAAATATATTTTATACAGACTCTAATGTTTTTATTTTGTAACATATGTTTATTTCAGATACAGAGGACATTTGTATCGTTGAAAGATTATTCAGTAGCAGTCTTGTTGCAGTTGTTAGTTTATCATCCCCCCGTAAACTTAAAGTATGTCACTTCAGAAAAGGAACAGAAATTTGTAACTACAGTTATTCAAATACCATCTTAGCTGTGAAGCTTAATAGAGCGGTATGTTACAAAGTTTCAGTAACAAAGATTTTTATTTATTTATACATATATATATAAAAGAACGAATTAGCATCAAACTTGCTTGTTCAAAAGTATACATGTAACGTAAAGCTTAAGGATTGTCATTTCTTCTAGAATTTGTTTTTTAATTATATTTAGTAAAATTATTATTACTTTTTACAGAGATTGGTAGTATGTTTAGAAGAATCGTTGTACATTCATAATATAAGAGACATGAAAGTATTACATACGATACGTGATACTCCACCAAATCTTGCAGGACTTTGTACGCTCTCAATAAGCAGTGACAATTGTTATCTAGCCTATCCAGGTTCAAATACAATTGGAGAAGTTCAGATATTTGATGCTATTAATCTTGTAAATATTTTTACATATATATTTCAAATTTCTTTTAAAAATGTATTGTAAAAAATCTATAAACTTAATATTTTTATTTACAGCAAGCTAAAACAATGATACCTGCACATGATAGTCCCCTCGCAGCTCTTGCATTCAGTCCCAATGGCACTAAAGTTGCTACTGCCTCTGAGAAAGGGACTGTAATTAGAGTCTTTCATGTATGTTTAGTTGTGATTTTGATAAATATATATGCATGTTTTTTATTAAATATATAAAATTGATTTATAAAGAAACGGTTATGGTTTCGATAGGTAAATGATGGAACCAAATTATTTGAATTTCGTCGAGGAGTTAAAAGATGTGTATCTATTAGCAGTCTGGCCTTTAGTTCGGATTCTATGTTTCTTTGTTGCTCTAGCAATACTGAAACTGTACACATTTTCAAATTAGAAGAACCAAAGGAAGTGTATGTATATCATTTATAATAATGTGTCATTACATGTTTTATTGTAATATGAAATATTTTCTATGTAAATATCAATACGCATTTATGCATAATGATTTTGTGTAGACCGCGACAAGCTCAAGCTGAAGAATCACAAAGCTGGATGGGTTATTTGACAAAAGCAGTATCTGCATCAGCTAATTATTTGCCTTCTCAAGTAACAGATGTCTTTAATCAAGGACGTGCATTTGCAAGCGTTCATTTACCATTTCAGGGTTTAAAAAATATTTGTGCCATTACTGTGTAAGTTTGAATAAATTGTACTCCTGCATTTTTCTTTTTTACGTACATTTTTTTTTTCTTTTAGGACACAGAAGGTACCAAAGCTACTAGTGGCTAGTGCCGATGGTTATTTGTATGTATACAATTTCAATGTTACAGAGGGAGGAAATTGTATGCTTTTAAAACAACATAGGTTTGTAATAATAGAATAGACAGGTAAATTTTAAGATAAAATATGTTTATAACATAATATTTCAATATTGTAGATTAGATGGTAGACAAGATGAAGTAGATTCTGCCGCTGTTTCTTCAACTGGTTCTGCTTCTGGAGAAGCACAAGCAACAGCTACAGCATCTGTACAAACAGTACAAAATTCAGGTATGATGTTTACACCTATTCGATATTTGTATTATTTATTTTCTTCAAATTAGTGGGAGCGAGTTGACGATAAAGATATATTAATTATAATAAGATTAATAATCAAATGAAATGAAATTAAATAGATAAAAACTTTTATTTTATAGCAAAACATTTTACTATAAGTACAAAACTAACATGACAATCATATCAATATTTCTACACATATATGATTTTAAGAATATCTTTTAAAGCTTGATAATAAATTGAAGTAAAAAGTTTTGCATTTATTAGTATACTAACAAATCCAATTATTGATACTCTAAATGTATATTAAATACGTATGCGTTCATGGACTCATAATCACAGTCAGAGGCACATCTGAAATCTTTTGACAGTTTTTTTTTGGTAACATCAAAGGTTTTTTGGTTCAATAAGTCATTTATATTACTATAAATATCACGAAATTGGTAAATGTAGAGAGTAAAACTTTAGTTAAGCATTATTTTTTTTAAGTTGAGTATTACGTATATAAGCTTTTATTAAATTGGAAGATTATAAAACCCTATTTTACCCTTTTAACGAAGTAATTCTAGTTAAGCGTTTTATGAAATAACAGTTTATTGAAACGTTCGAAAAGGATTAATGAATATATACATCTTTTTTGGAGATAAACAATTATTTTGTATAATTTATATTTTTATAAGTCTGAAAAATAGGGCTTTATCATCCAACTGTATTATCTGATTTTTTGTCTATATAATTTATATATAATATTTTATAAATTATAATATATATATATATATATGTATATATATATTTTAATTCATTTATATAAATTAAAAAAAATTTAAGTATTTAGTTTTATAGTTGTCCAAGTATACTTACATTAGATCTTTGATCTTTAAACGAATATATAATAAGTATACAAATATATGTTTATAGGTAGGAACAGTTTTATGCGAAAAGCATATAATTTAATGAATTTATTTTGAAGGTAACTTGAATTGAAAGAACAGATCATGCGTGTGTGCGCATAGAGAATGCCTTTACTTGCTTTTTATTTCCTTTTTCTCGCTTCTAGCCCCTCAGAATTAAATTACCAGGCAATTTCTTCAGGGGCTAAAGGGGAGCCCCGACAGTTGACCTTACTTGACGCAATTTTTTTCTTTTTATTATCCACTGAAGCCTGCATAAATAGCTACGCGGGTGCGTTACGTGGTCGTTCGCCAGACTCCATGTCAGGTAACTGGTATGTCCTCTATACTGCCCATTGTTTTTATTTATTTTTTTTTGCTCATATTTGCTCTATAAGCACCAATCATTCGCCTTCACTCTTTGTTCCATTGCCTCACTGTAAACATCTGCATTTACACATGCAGTGAAAGAAAAAAAGCAATGCAAAATAACAATAGTGCTCATATATTAGCTGGGTATTAGGTTTCTAATATTGTACATATCAACGCCATAATTGTATTAAACAAAAAATAGTTCCTTATAGAAAGCTTTCTATTTTATGAATATGCATATGAACACTATAATTTGCATCTGCGGAAAAACAAAGTACTTCTTGCCAGATTTTAATGTAATAATATTACAAATGATTTAAATATTAATTGTTTGAATAATATATTACTAGTTTTAAAAAAAAGATGTAAATTGATTGTGTAAATATACATGTTTGTAGCGCAGGGAATTTTATCAGGTATAAATAATAATATAATTGCAAATTTTTGAATGAAAGCTAGATTTGATCTATTTTAATCTTGCTGAATATTACATAGAATATAAATGAAAACGGTGACTTCTGCAGTTATGTCAAAAAGTGTGGAAATTAGATTACTTTTTATAATTTATAATTTATAATATATGTTTTATGAGACTTATTATATATTATATTCGTGATGATGTATTAACTCTTTCCTGTCTTGATAGTTATAGACATAGGTATTCCGTTAAACGGAAATACAGATGAGGTATGGTCCATTAGTTATTGTCTGAAAATCTTAATCCTACAGATTGAAAGTCTGAACTTTATTGTTAATATTTTGCCTTAGGCTTAGTGCTTTATCTGGATTATATTGTCACGTCCTTAATAGAAATGGGTCTTGTTGGAATTCTCCTGGTATAAGACTGTAATGGAAAAGGGCCTTGTCAGTATTATCCTGGCACATGACTATGATAGTAATATTGTTACTGGGATTATTCCAACATACGACCTTAACTGTATATGGTTTTGCCGGAATTATCTCTAACTTCGATAGGAAAGAGTTAATATTTAATTTAATGCAAAATTAGAGTGCATGCATATTTGAAGATGCATATCAGGAATTTTTGTATGAAATATTTACTACATTAAAGTTAGTATTGTGTATCTTTTTCTCAAAATCAATAAAAATCTAAATTTATATCCTAATTTTTCAAACAATTTTTTAATATTTTAGCTGAGTTTAATAGTACATTTAATGATTTATAAATAATTTTGCATATAAAATAATAATTTTAGAAGAAAATAATTTTAAGTTACAATTCTCTCTCTATATAATTCTTTACAATTCTATATATTTCTCCTTATAGCATTTTATAAATTCATTGCAAAATCAAAAACGTATTTAAATAAATTTGAATTATTTTCATTTTCGATAATTATAGGAGTTCTTGTAATAAAACATTTATTTTTCTGTCAACTTTTATTAATTATCATTAGTTCTGAAAATTATAGATTTTTAGTGTATAATTTTAAAATCACTAATAATTACTATTTTACCAATAATATGATATCTAGAGTGGTGGTCATTGAGATTATTTAATTGCATTTAAATACAATATGTACTTGGTGTTTATTAAAGTTTTATCTGGAAAACAGTGTTGTTGAGAAAAATTATTCATAAAAGAATTATCTGATTTCAATGTAAAAATATTATGACATTTATTGTTTCTTATTTAATGAAAGATTTCAAGATATTCATTATAATGATAATATACTATATATATTAAAAAAAGAAATAATGTTTATCTGAAATATCTTTTTATTCTCCTTCATTTCCTGAGATATTTAACAAAATATCTTGCAAAGTAGAAGAGATAATAAATGTTTAAATTTTTCAAGCGACTGCAATCGTCAAATTTTTTAGAATTATTTATTTTCTTACTCTAATGTTTATGCTCACACTAATATACACACACACACACATGCATGCACCACACATTCGCATGAGAAGAAGTAGAAAATAATAAAAACACTAATTAAAAACTTTATGTTTTGTATACAGTAGTACACAGAAAATGCTAAAAAGTTAATATATTCGCTAAAAATAAACATTTTTTATTTTTTATACTCTGCTTGAAGAGCTATTGGGTTCTTATTTTAAAAAAACAAAGTTTACTTTTAAACAATCTTGAAATCTTTAAGAAAATAGAAAAAAATAAATAACGTAAGATTCCCCTTTTGAAAACAGGTAATTGTAATCTGAACAATTTTTCTCAAAAATACCGTCTTTTTGAGATAAAAACTCGTAACCCTTTATTTTGAATACCCAGTATATGTATATATATGCATACATATTTATATAAATATGAAAATAATGATCAATTGTTGTGTTGTATATAAATATATTATGACTATGACTGTTAAAATACCAGTAGCAAGCAAATGGGTTTATTGTATGATATCAAAGTGAAATCACCTTAAAGAATGTCTATATGCATTAATATATCACGTACCATTGAATTCTAATTGTTCAAAATACACATCTTTATCGTTACATCCGCTTGATACAAATTAATAAAGAACTATAATTTATGTATACGTCGGTTTGTAGAATCAGAGAAATATTATGAGATGATAGCAGCAGCCGAAAGTCCACCCAAAAGTAGAGGACCATTCAGATTGGATGATGACACAGAATTTCCTCCTGTTTGAAGAAAATAATTAAGGCATATCATGGAAGTTATGTCAAGATTTAGGATATATAATGGTGATTGTAAAACGTGGAGAGCATATTGGTATGCCAATTGTTCAGAATTGAAGAGCATGTTTCACACTTCAGTTTCAATAAGATCAAAAATTAGGTGACATTACCAAGAATGTTGCACGTTTAATACGTAAGGGAATTAACAGAAGTATAAATCTTTTCACATGATCAATTATTTGTTCTTAATATTGCATACCAACGTAACTCTCTCGGTAATATTACCACATCACCAAACTAAAAATTTATGCGATATCTTTTTACAACCTATTATTAGAAAGCATGTAAGTAGTTATATAGAAAATATAGTTATCCAATTGAGTTTGTTAATTATAAAATTTTGAAAAAAATATATGTAAGTACTATCATCAGTATTTGGTAAGAATGTTTTCGTAAATTTACATGAAATAATATTTAGATAAACTATTTTTACCAAATATAAACATTCGTGTTAAAATAAGGTATAAGAATAAGTGCAATTTATTTGCAAATATCAATCCGAAATTAAAATATATATATATATATATAATAAATATAAAATAAAAATTATTATTAATAATTAACTAATAAGAGAAGAGAGAGAATACATTTACAATTTATTAAGTTGATCTATTTTGAAAATAAAATTTATCTTTTTTACATAGCTCTCTTGGGAATCAGTAATAAAGTTATGGGAATGCTATTATATTTTACCAAAAATCGATTCTATTGGTCCTTAGTCACTCATTGTCTATGTAACGTTCTGCTGTGTTTATAAGTAAACATTACACATGTATTTTCTTGGATTGCTGCATTTTTAGTTTTAATATTATTATTCGTGTCTTATGATCAACGATTGAAGCGTTTGTTTTTTAATAGAAGCATCAACAAAATTTCATAAATATGACTTATCTTAAATAAATTTTTAGATAATTTGGAATTTTTAAAGAAAAATCATAACACTTTCAATGAACATGTGAAATAATGTAGGAATGATCCACTTTATAAATGTTTGATAAAAATTTTAGACTTTCCATAGCATTTTTTTAGAATTCCAGATAAATTTATATTTCTATGTACAAGATGGAGTTCTCTCCGTGTTAAAAAAATTGAAACATAGAGTTATACAGCTTATGTGTAAGAAACATTAATCTGTATCCATATTAATTTGTCTTTTGGAGACAAATTCGGAAACAGGATGTATGTGATAATTAGATTTTCTGAAAAACAGAAATACATTTGTTTATAAAATAATCTTATATCTTGTTTTTACCATTTTCTGATGTAATATCGTTCATCCCTTAATATGGAACAAAGATGTACATTATATTGTAAGTTTTATTTATATAACCATTAGCTCATTTAAGTTCTTTCATATTTTATTTTTGTTTAAATATCTGCCCATTGCTTTGGGTAATGCAATATGGTGGCTATAAAATAAGTTTATGATTTATTTATGTATAATTATGTAGGGATTGTAGATGATCTTTAGATTTTGAATTTATTCTTATGAGAACTGTACTTTTATATTATAAATAACTTTACTACTCATAATTGGTGCCACAAACAAGTTATAATTTCATTTAAATTAATACTTATATTGGTAAATATAAATTGTCTGTTTGTATACTATTAGAAGAAAACACCGTTGTATGTATTTTTTCATAATAATTTTTTGCGTATGATGATTTTGAGAACTATGTAACTTCCAAATTATACCAGTAATAAGCTTTCTTTTATAACGAAAAACATTTGGTACAATTATCCATTAAATTGTATTTCAATGACGTGACTTTCGCTATTTTATACTAACGACTCTTGTTTAGAGAATAGTTATACTTTTATAAAAATAAATAAAAATGTTAATATATATAAATATATATAACATATACATATATATATATATATTAGCATTAATATCTGATGTACATATATTCATGTTAAAGCTTAAGCGTTCAGGATATTACCTTTAATATTTCTTATTAATATATGTGATTTTAATTGATAATGTGGATAAATCTTTACCTTTCCTTGTTCAAATTTTCTTTTATCATCATACCGATTATATTTTTTATTCAATTGAATATATATTGATAAAAGATTATATGTTATTTTTATGAAATTTATTTATATCTTAATACCTGTTAGCAAAATATTTCATTTTTATATTTTTAAAATATTTATAACAAAGAAATAAAGAAATAATTAGACACAAGGAAAAAATTTATACTAATTTTATAACATAATCGTTCTTTATTTATGACAATAGTTAATTTTTACTACACACTACACTTTCATTCTACATATGTATATTACATATAAAATTTAATATTTTTTTAACTAAACAATTTTTGATTATAATATGATAAATGTTATTTATATTTTATTTAGTATTTCTCTCGTCCAAAAATTACAATTTTTAATGATGAAATTTAACAGGGAACTTGGACATGAAAGAAGTAGARCTWWGTTTGATTTAGTTGGACGTTTCGTCCCTTTATTGGGACTTCTTCAGCAACTAGAAATTTTATTTTATTATTATTTCTTATATTACGACATACATGAGGCTCATA